ATGTCATGTGTGAATATGCTAATATATTACCAAATAAAGATTAATCTTGAATCTCTGAAGATATGTGCTTTCTTTATCTTACCAATATATCATGCTTGAATATGCCAAAAAATATTCAATATATTATGTGTGAATATACAATAACGTACCAAATAAATATAAAATGACTTAAAAAAATATTTCTATATTTATTCAAATAAATGTAGGCGATAAATAGTTACTCGGCCATCAAATATTAATTTTATTAACATATTATATTAATTTTCAATAATATTATCAATACAAATAATATATTCAATGGAGACTTACTTTTTTTGGTTAAGTTTATTGCATTTTAGAAACTTTTATTATATTTTAAATTATTAACTAAGTTAGTATGGTTCAAAATAGTTATTCTGATTATTACTAGTGTATATCCCGTGCGATGCACGGAGGAGCTCATATTTTAAACCTTTTTTAGGCTTTATTTTAAAATATAATTATTTAGATTTTTCACATCTCCTCTATTATGAAAATAAAATAAATACAAACAATAAAAAATATATATTATTAAATACTTCTCTTTATACAATATTTTTTAAAGTAATATTATTAAACCTTACGGTTTTGATTTTATTTTTTTAACAAGTCAATTATCTCCATAAGAATAATCATACCATTTTAATTTCAAAAAAAATTGACAAGTTTGTTAGAGAGATAAATCCGGTTAGATAAATGATTAATTAGTTAAGATATTATATTAATTGTATCATAAAAAAATCGATTAGATAATGTAGATAAAAAAAATATAATATTAATTAGTTTGTTAGGAATGTGATTATAAGAAAATCATGATAAAATGAATTTACCCAAAAAAAATTGTTTAGGATCTTTTTCTTTAAATGTTTGAATTTAAAAATTTAATACCGAATTTCGATTATATCACATAAGAAAAAAATAAATAATAAACATTTATTAATATATTAAAATATGTAATTTGAATTTCATATAAAGTAAAAGGTATAATAATTCAAATTTATTTTTAAAATAAAAGCTATGATAAACATTTATTTGTTATCTATAAAATTTTAATTTTTTTATTATTCTAATGATTTATACATTAAAGTGAACTTAGGTACGGTATGATTTAATTCATTTGAAGTTGTATCTACCTAAGTAATAATATTTGGCCAATTATTATTTTATCGGTTATGGACTTCACAAGTACCCAGATTTCTCTAATAAAACGCGTTAAAAATAAATAAAAAATAAACTCTTGTCTTCTATTATTTCGGCCGAAAAAACTGAACTCGTCAGGACAAATCGTTTCTCGCCGTTCGTACATTTCACTGGTGCTCAGAATCTCCAGTCGTCTTCTCCGAGGAGTGCGACCAGCCTTGGCGTCTTGTGGGCATCATTGATCTTCAGCCCGTCCTTGGAACAGCAGCCCCGTCGCCGGTCATCATACTGGTAACATCAGCCCTGCCATCTCCGGCCAACACCCATCGTCCGAGTTTCACAACAGTAAAATAATCTCCGGTCGATCATCATCCTCGCGAGATCTGATCCGTCCCCAGCTCCACTCGATCTTTTTCTCTGCTCGATTAACAAATGACCTCGTACAGTCGCAGCCCGTCCCACGTGCAGCCATAAATGACTCATGTTTCCACAGCCGCACGAAACCACCAAGACTGGCCAGACACAACTAAAAAAAAAAATCGGCCATCGTGCATCCAACGCGACCAATAGCTTCTCGCCGGAAAGCCCTCGCGATGGCAGGCCCAAGCGAAGCCCAAGAGTTCATCACCAACCACAGACAAACACCCTCTCCATGATTAATTTCAACATTTTTTGCCCAAGATTTCTATTTTTTTTCACTTGCATATGAGCGAGAAGAAAGAGAAGGATTCCGCCCAAGATTTTTTTTTTTTTTTACCTGTGTATGAAAGAGAAGAAAAAGAATAATTGGACTTATTCAAATTATATCTTCCCTAATTATCTTCCCCTAACTAAATCTCATTATATATTCTCTTAGGATATTTTACACATTGACTTTTTTAAAATTCAAATAATTGTCTAATGTGGGACAATCCAAAAAAATTCAAAAAACCATTCCATTAATGGTGAAAAATGAAAAAATGAGCGGAAAAATGACATTAAAAAAGCGGGAAACTGAATTATTTTTTTTAAGTTTTTCAAATCTTTTTTCTTAGCTGTATTATATAGTAATAGATACGATATATTTTAAGTACTTCTGATAGGTGAATACAATTAACTAAATTAATATCTACAACCACAGACGATAACATATTTAATCAAATAAAATTTTCATAATATTTTTTTAATTGTGTCAATAAATTATATGAAATTAATATTAAGATCTTATTAAAAATATATCTAATGAATATACGGTCAAAATAATTATATTTAAGGCAATTTATAGTTCATGAATATTAGACATTGGGTACATAAAAAATAATTAATTTTTTTATACATAAACTTTGCTAATAAATAAAAATTAACTAATTGCCAAATATAGACGAAAAAAATTTCGGCTCAAAACTATACCAATTATAGCAATATAGATTAGTCCATTATATAGATATAGATATAGATAACATGTTGGATAGCAACCTTGATATTAATTGTATATTCCAACACAAACCATTGAACACTCATTACCAATTCCAATGATTACCCAATCAAAAAAAATAGAATTACAATATATTGTTGTTAAAATTTGGTGATTTTCTTGATATTGTCGTTAAAATTTGATAATTTTGTAGCAGCTTTTAATGATATGCTTTGGTTCTTTTTCAAATTTTCAGCAAAGAACTGTAAGCTTGTTCTTAGAATGCTGATGACATGCTTGGGTTCTTTTTCAAATTTTCTAACACAGAAATGTCGTTTGCTTTAATTTAAGCGGTATATATTTTTTTCTTGTTCTCTTGCAAATCCCATATTTAGTACTTGGAGATCATATTTATTTATTTGATCTCCATTGATCATTTTTATTCATAATTCAAATAGTTCATATGCTTACAGAGTATATCTGTGTGGTGGTCATTGTAACATGCATATTTATTATAAATTTGTTTTCCCTTAATTTGTAATTGTTGTTGTTGTTGTTAACTTATGTAATTGTTGTTGTTATTAACTTATTATTGTTAGTTTTCTAATTTGTCCATCTGAGCAAATTCAAATTACAAAAAAAAGGGGAACATTAGAAGAAAATGAAAAGGAAAAAATAAAAACAGGGGAAACACCACCCACACAGGTGGCAAAGCAGAGAATCACATATAATAACAATTAATCATTAGACCACTTTTTATGGTTGGACCAAATTAGGTTTGGGCTTAGAATTCCCAAATCCAGAAGGTCCAACAAAACCTAGCTCAGTCAAGTGTTTGATCAACCCTTTTCAATGAGGCCAAGTCTTCTCATAGACCAATGACCTAGTCATATTTTTGTTTAATTATCTCAACCTTTCTTGTACTCACCGTGTTCAAGCACATCCATACTTGTGTACTTTGAAGTTTGAACATTGATTTCCACAAAAATTCATTCTTTCCCAGGTTTCATGTTTATATATATCCAACACATACATACCACCATTAGGCAGACATAATTAAATACATTAAAAAGAACCAC